AGGCTAGATATCAGGAAGCACTACTTCACTGTCAGGGCAGCTAGGAGCTGGAACCAATGTCCAAGGGAAGTGGTGCTCACTCCTACCCTGGGGGCTTCAAAAGGAGGCTAGACAGCCACCTAGCCAGGGTCATTTGACCCCAGCATCCTTTCCTGCCCATGGCAGGGGGTCGGACTTGATGATCTGCGTAGGTCCCTTCTGATCCTGCCAACTATGAAACTATGAACATTCTCTGCCTCCTGTGGGCAAAGGTTGGCTCTATTGTGAGCAGGATGTTTTAACAATACAATGTTTTGATTGCTGAAAATTGATTAATGGGAATGATGCACAAGCGAGGAAGAATCCACCTTGATGTCCAGATCCCAGGCTGAGCTTGTACCATATGCAATTAGAGAAATAATTTGACTGATAAACAGAAGAAATTGGATCTGGAAGTCATAAAGGAAAAAGCTGCAAAAATTGTTTTATAGCTTAAGTCTCTTTTCAGAGTGCAAACAAACTTAGGGATATAAGCAGCTTTTAAGGGTACCTCAGAAATTTAGAAATGAAATGTTGTGTGCTTGTTTTGATCTGAAGCACATATGATGAGTTTTCCTTTCTATATGGAGCCTGACTTAAAATCCATTGCCTTTAATGGAAGTGCCAGGCCTCCACAGTCAAGAGAAAAGAATATGGTTTGCTGTGAAACCAAAAACTTTGACCTAATTTATTTGCTATGAGAACTTTTTATGAGTCAAGCAGAGAGAATGCAGAAATTGTGATGAACAGAGACCTCTCAGGATACTATGTAAAAGTGAAGTGAATGAAATTCAGAGAACTTCCAGACTGGAATAAAACTACCCTTGAATTGTAGGGAAATTCAGGTCTGGATCTGAACATGGTTCAGGTTCATGTGTTGTAACTTCTAGGGTACTGTTTAATAGCCTGTTTTTTGAAACTTCTAGTGGATAAATATCCTCCTTCTCACACCTTTACTGTTTGTTATAGCAAAAGGAATATGGAGATTGAAATCCTTTTCTTGCTGTTATCCTATTGAAAGGAAATGCAAATGATGGCAATTCTTATTCTGGGCATTTGACTCTTCTGTGCTTCTGCCACCTACATCTTACTAGACTTCCTCCAACTTCTGAGCCTCTGGTCTGTCAGCAGGTGTTAACAATCACATACCTCAGGCCAAATGATACTCTGGGTGGTGATGAGAGAACTGTGTGAGTCTGTTTCTGCTCTCCACTCCCTGCAGGACGATTATGAGTTGGAGAGACCTGTTAATACAAACAAAAACACTGTTTATGAAGCACACATGTATACATGCAATATAAATGCATTCTTTTAATTCTTTGACAGCAAAGTGTCCATCATGAATTATCACCTAGGACATCTCAACTGGTGGGAAATATATCGGAAATATATCTAGGGAAGGTCAGAATGTAATTAGTATGCCTCAAAATTAGAATATCTATTGAGAAAAATTGTCCATTTAGCTTTATTCACGTTTCATGAACTTTGCCTTCCCCTGAACTTCCCCGTAATAGGGTCTGTCCCTTTAAGAGGGGTCAGAAAGCCCTGTTGAGAGTCCAGCTGCAGGGCATCTTGATAGAGAGGAAGTGTTCTCCTCTGTGCTATAGAAGAGGCGCACCAACACCAATTCTGGGAAGAGTTTATAGATTCATAGATGTTAGGGTCGGAAGGGACCTCAACAGATCATCGAGTCTGACCCCCTGCATACACAGGAAAGTGCTGGGTTCAGATGACCCCAGCCAGATGCCCATCCAATCTCCTCTTGAAGACCCCTAGGGTAGGGGAGAACACCACTTCCCTTGGGAGCCCATTCCAGACCTTGGCCACTCTAACTGTGAAGAAGTTCCTCCTAATGTCCAGTCTAAATCTGCCCTCTGCTAGCTTATGGCCTTCATTTCTTGTGACCCCCAGGGGCACCTTGGTGAATAGAGCCTCACCAATTCCCTTCTGTGCCCCCATGATGAATTTATAGGCAGCCACAAGGTTGCCTCTCAACCTTCTGTGGAGGCTGAAGAGGTCCAGGTGCCTTAGTCTCTCCTCATAGGGCTTGGTCTGCAAGCCCTTAACCATATGAGTGGCCCTCCTCTGGACCCTCTCCAGGTTATCCACATCCCTCTTGAAGTGTGGCGCCCAAAACTGCATACAGTATTCCAACTGTGGTCTGACGAGTGCCCAATAGAGGGGAAGTATCAACTCCTTGGTTGTTTGTCATGCATCTGCTGATGCACGATAAAGTGCAGTTAGCTTTTCTGATGACTTCGTCACACTGACGACTCAGGTTCATCTTGGAGTCCACTAGGACTCCGAGATCCCTTTCTGCTTCCGTGCTATCGAGCAGGTCATTTCCTAGGCAGTAGGTGTGCTGGACATTTTTCCTCCCTAGGTGCAACACTTTGCATTTCCCCTTTTTAAATTGCATTCTATTGTTTTCTGCCCATTTGTCCAACCTGTCCAGGTCTGCCTGCAGTTGTTGCTTGCCCTCCGGTGTGTCCACTTCTCCCCACAGTTTTGTATCATCCGCAAACTTGGATACAGTACACTTCACTCCCTCGTCCAAGCCAATGATGAAGACATTGAAGAGTATCGGTCCAAGGACCGAGCTCTGCGGGACCCCAGTACCCACTCTCTTCCAGGTCGATACCGACCCAATCCACTACCACTCTCTGGGTACGACCCTCTAGCCAATTTGCCACCCACCAGACTGTGTAATCATCCAAGTCACAGCCTCTTAATCCTGACTCCTAGCTGTGAGCTGCTGTATAGTGCTTCAAAGGCATGTGCACCCAGTGCTTAAAATCAGAGTGCTGCTCTGCCAGTGAAATCATGGAACTGATAACTTTAGAATAATTTTGCTGCATATTGCTGGTGAGGGGCTGGGAGTGGGTTTGCTGACACTGGGGTGATGATCTGAAAGCGGCAGACTGCTTTGCTGCAAATTTGTTGGGAGCCAAATGAGAATGCGAGGAGCATCCTGCCGGACCAGAGGGACAGGCCCAAGAAAGCACAAATTCAAGGCAAGGAGGACCTCCTATAGGTAAAAAGTTATTGGGTGGAAATCATGCATCCAGTCCAAAAACCCTGCTGTGATCCCCAAGGAGATGAGGAAGGGCTCAGTCGCACTGGTCCACGTAACTGGGAGTTGAAGATCCCCTCCAGGATGTAGGGCTAGGCCCAGGGAAAGGGGAATTCTTGGTCTGTTTTTGTGTGAATGACTGGACCACTCATTACCCCCAGACAGACTCCAGTTATATACAGTCCAGGATCTCTGAGATACAGGAGATCTCAAAATAAAGAGCCTATGTGAACCAAGGGAAGGTGGGGGATACTTAGGTCCTGGGCCTGGTAGATTCAGGCTCTGGACAGACATTTGTTCATGAGAGGCTTGTGGACCCTGCTTATTTATCAATCACACAGTGCATATATGCAATCTGTATTCACGGAGATATTAGTCCCTATCCAAGTGCAAGAGTGTGGCTATTGATTGGGGGCCAAATGGCTGAGTATAATGCAGTGGTGGCCAGCCACCTTTACCAACTGGTAATGGTGGGTCAGGACTGGGATCAAGATGCAGGCAGGATCTAGGGATGCAAGATCACCTTGAGAACTACCTTGGGGAGATATCTTACTTTGAGGTGTTTGGGCCCTAAGCTACCTTTCATCGGGGGAGAGCCTGGTAAAAGGTTGGGTAAGGGTTAAGGGATCCAGTATGATCGGGGTGGCTGTGAGGAAAACTCTGCAGGACTGAGGTCCTTGGGCAACCCACCAGAGAGAGGTGCATCCATAGGAGAAGGACCTGACTTCATACACAGCCAGAGAGAAGACCCCATCTTTGCCCCGCTCTGTGGATAGTTGGCCCAGGTGAATAACATTGTGACAGATCCTTACTTTGTTGCCCAGGATCCCCACTTTGAACTACAAGGAGGTGTCCTGATTAGGGTCTCTCAGGACAAGATGATTGGCACCTAGAAGTACCAGTTACCACTGCCAAAACTGCATTACAACCAGTTTTGAAGATGGACCATGACATAACTTGGGTAAGCTATCTGGGGATCGAGTAAACACGGAAGTGGGTGCTTGCCAGATTCTTTTGACCAGAGATTTATTAGAACATTAATGACTACTGTGTGTATTGTCCCAATTGCCAGTTGGTGGCCCCATGCCCAAGGCATCAAGTGCCACTGGTACTTCCTCCCTTGGTGGGTACCCCCTTGGAATGAGTCAGGGTAGGTATTGTCAGGCTGCTGGAGCTGAGCACAAATGGGTACCATTTTATACTCATGGGGAATGCTACCCAGTACCTGGAAGTGGTGATGATCCTTTATGCCTTAGCCCAAAAAATAGCCACTGCCATAGAACTGTTAAAAAATGTTTTATAGGTAGACCCCCCCATGGAAGATACTACCAGACCAAGGCATGGTCTTTTTTGTTGTGGTTATTGCAAGAGGTATGGGCTCTATCAAAGTCCACCTGGTCAAGACCTCCACCTACCACACTCAGATGGATGGTCTGTGCAGAGGTTTAATTGAACTTTGAAGGAGATGTTGAGAAAGTTTGTAGCTGGAGAACCCCGTAAGTGGGATATACTTCTGTTGTATTTACTGGGTCCCCAATACTCCATGGAATTCTCTTCCTTTGAACTGCTATACAGGAAGCAGACCAGAGGTTACTGGACCTCCTCCATAAGACCTGGCAGGTACAGGGCATGAAGTCTCAAAATATCATCCAATATGTTTCAGGCTATAGGAATGACTGAACATAGTAGGGGTATTTGCCTGGGTGAACCTCAAGGCTACACGACAAAACCAATCACAACAATATAGTAAGAATATAAAATGCTGGGTCTATCCCTCTGGGGATCAGGTCCTGTTGTTGGTCCCCCTGTCAAAGAGAAATTGCTTGCTAAATGACAGGGCCCTTATGAGAGAAAGGGCAAGTTGGAAACCTGTCTTATGAAGGTGAGGAAGCAACATGAGGTTCAAATATACCTTGTGAATCTTCTGAAACTATAGTGAGCCTGTGAAGCACTGAATACCTCAACTACTTTCTCAGCAATACCAGCGGTGTGGGAAAGACAATTCAACTCCCAACCAGTGAGGTTGCTCTGGGGCAGAACCTGTCCACAGCTCAACAGGAGGAAGCAAAGGCCTTGTTGAAAGAATCTCTAGATATGTTTACAACTTGGCTGGAAAAGACCACACAAATTGATTGTAAGATCATCCTGCTGAAACCAGCATGTTCCATTCAGAAGAATTTCTCCCAAATACCTGAGCAACTATGGGTAATGGTAAAGGAGTTGGCCAAGCATGCCAACTCATCAAGTGAACAGTCCAGCCCAATCTTGTCAGTTCCCAAACTGGACAAACTGGATAGGCTTTGCATTGTTTCCTGTATGCTGAATGCCACGTCAAAGCCTACTCAATACCCTGGATTGATGAATTATTACAGTGGCTGGGGAAGGTCAAATATATATTGCTGTTGGATTTAACAAAAGGTTACTGGCAGATTCCCTTTGTTTTGGAGTCCTAAGTGTTAACAGCATTCACAATGCCTTGGGGCCTGTACCAGTTTAGAACCCTGCCCTTTCATTTCCATGGTGGCCTCTGCCACATTTCAGTTTCCAATGAATAAAATATGTAGCCTCACCAGGAGCATGTGGCAGCTTATCTTGACAATGTGGAGGTGTTCACTTGTACATGGAAGGAACCTCTAGAGAATTAGGCCAATGTGGTGCCTATCTTCGAGAAAGGGAGGAAAGTAGATCTGGGGAACTACAGGCCCATCAGCCTGACCTCTATCCCAGGGAAGATCTTTGGAAAAAATCAAAGAGTTCATTCTTGACAAACTGGCTGATGGCAACATCCTGAGGGACAGCTAGCACGGGTTTGTTGCAGGTAGGTTTTGCCTGACCAATCTCATTTCCTTCTATGACCAGGTGACCTATCACCTGGACAAGGGAGAAAAGATTGACGTTATATATCTTGACTATAAAAAAGCCTTTGATCTGGTGTCCCATGATCTCCTCATGGAAAAATTGGCCAACTGTGGCCTCGGCTACATCACAGTCCAATAGCTGGGGAATTGGCTCCAAGGTCGGACCCAGAGAGTGGTACTCGATGGAATTAAATCATCATGGTGCTCCATGACCAGTGGGGTCCCCCAAGACTCCGTCCTTGGGCCTGTACTCTTTAACATCTTTATTAACGATGTAGACGCTGGTGTCAGAAGTGGACTGACCAACTTCACC